TTTTGTTTCTATTTCTCATCTATATATTTCTATATATAATTATTTTCTATATTATTCTATATTAATTATAATAATATTTTTACCCGAAATAAGATTAGCCACAGACAATAAAATATACATTGGCCTGCTACTAATGAAAGGGTAAGGTCTAAGAATCCTTTCTCCCCTCTCTGCTGCCACTTTGAACAACAGCAACAGTAGAGATTGATGCAGATTCAAGCAGTGAAGCATCACCTGATATGTGGTTATTGCTGCACTTTCACATTTGCTTAAGCACCAGAGGGTCACAGGATAACCTTTTTATTAGTTTTTCACTCTATTAAAAACAGAAATCGTGGGCAGTCCAGATCAGGAAGTGTAACTAATAGGTATTTATGCTGTGTAAGTGGGCTGCACATTATCTTGTAAAATGTGAAAAACAAAACCTCTTTGACAAAATATGTATAGCATATCATATTTGGAAATGCTGAATGCTGCAGTTGGTTATGGTTTGCAGTGTTTTTAAAAAAATACGCAAACCCTTGGTAAAGCCCATTTAATGATTAACATTTCTATACGTCTCTTTCTTTTAAAGGTTCCCCGCCCCCAACAATACAAGTAGTTTCAGTTCAGCACCTGTAAGGTTTAAGTATCCACACAAAATATTTGGGATCTTTGCCAATTTAATCAGTTATTTATTTTTATAAGTGCAGGCTCATAAATATTTATGTATTTATACAAACTTTGGGGCTAACATTTCCTCCTATCCTAAATCGGTGTTTTTATTAAAAATTTGCTGTATCACTGTCGATGTGAATTTTCTTGTTTGATTTGTCAATGGCGTATACTTGCCCTGGATCTATTTGCTCTCAGATCCATTTGTCATCGATCAGCAGTTGCGCTGTCTAAATAGGGGCGTTGATCCTAAATTTCTAGGAATCACAAAGTTTGATTGCCGTCCTCATTCTGCCAGCAAGTGGCACTTTTAGGGAATTAGAATGCAGCCAGAGATTTTATTTTGCAGCATGTAGCTTCTCCTTCAACAGCAAGTTTCCTTATATTTAAGAAATACAAGCTGAAACACTCAAAGTAAGAAATACTATGGTGTCTTGGGTTTGCTTCACATGATTTTGGTGGCAGAGAAGGGGGGTGGGTGAGAATATGTAGAGGTGAAAGCTGATTAACAATAGATTGACGGGTGTTGGGGGACACAGAAAAGCCTCCGGGAGAAACTCAACATGAGCTGAAACTTTTGCGGAGAGGAGAGACCTTCCATTTTCTCCACTCTACAGCAAACGTAACCACACGTAGCGAGTCAGCCGAGTGTGGCTCCCAGCGGGGATGGGGACACGGATATCCCCCATTAACTGGGATTGGGAGGGGGGCCCTCCGGGGTCCTGGAGCGAGGCCGAGACCCCGCTGGGACGGTGAATGCCGCCGGCGACTGCTCGCGAGCCGCGTGTGCGCAGAGCAGAGGAAGCGCCGCCCCCTTCATTTGCACCTCGAAGGACTAGACGGCGGGCAGCTCTCGGGTCGCGTTCCTCAGGCCTGAGCGCAGGACCGGCGGTGAGGTGCGGGGAGTCCAGGTGAGCACGAGTCTGACGCCCACTCAGAGCAGAGGAGCCCTGTCCCCCGTGGGCGTTTAGTCGAGGGGCGCCCCTGGGGAGGGTCCCCACGGTTGCGCTCCTTGCTGGAGCGAACTTTGCGCCGTTGGTGTGAGCGCAGCTCTCTGCTCAGGGGAGGGTGGGCTCCCGCTGAGGTTCCCCCCAGAGGGAGAGAGACTTCCCACTCCTGAGGGGTCCCCACAAGCACGCATCCTGCTGTCAAGTTTTGGGGCCCACGGGCAGAGCACCCGTAAGGCTCCTCGACGCGTGCTTGGAGGCGCGCTTTGGGGCCGTGGGCGGGCGGCAGGCAGGGGGGTGGCACCCCTCCCCCTCCACGTGTCGACTCTAATGCATCCCCTACTCTGTACCCGGATGTGGGATTTCCCGGCTTGCACCTGGGGCGTCGGTGGGCCCGGTCCTTTCTGGCTTCTGGGGGGACGGGAGGCGCGCGCGGCCTGGAAGTCAGGTAAAGGCCGAGGGAGACGCCCGTCGAGCCGCGGGGTGCGGGGGGCAGAGCGCTCAGAGTCGCCGCCCTGCTGTCATTGTCACGAGTGGGTCGGCCCCCGCGACGGCCCGAGCCTCCGAGTGACCGAGGCCCCGGGCCACCGAGCCCCGCGGGCGAACTAGACCCGGGGCG